AACCTCGATAATTAGCGAGGGAAACTCAGGAGCTCAGCCGAGGAAAGCAAACATACATTCCTCCACCACTAAATAGCTAACATTCTGTCGATCAACTCTATAGAATGCAACCCAAGCGACAGATCAAAAACTAGGAGACTACGTTTCATCACGCCACCTACACACTACCCTTAAACTCAAGTCAAGTGAGTGCCCCACATTACTTGTGAGACTACCTCCAGACACTAGGAATCCATAAACGACCCAAAAAGACAACAATAACCTACCCATACCTGCTGCTGTTAACTACAGCCCTATTAATGAACACCACAATGCGCGTAATCCCGCACCTCTATAGAAAGGTTACCGCCAAGCCTAGGATTAAATCTTCCATCGTGGCCGAATGTGGGTAGTAATAGTCCAATCAAAACTACAACAGGGGAAGGCTGCTTAAGCCTGAGTGGCCTCAACCTCACGACCATAGTACTTCCTCTTCTCATCAGCAGTCTGGAATCTACCATGACCGTACTTGGAGGAGGTATCGATGAACTTGAGATCGATCTTCTCCAAAGCGTTACGGCTGGTCTGGGGGAGGAGGCTCTTACGAAGAGTGATGACACGCTTCTTAGGACCAGTAACAGTACCCTTGAGCATAACCCAGTCTTCATTGACCTCACCGTAGTGGGGGAAGCCACCCATGGGAGTGATAGCCTTCTGGGTGAGATCGTTGGAGCCAGCAGCATTGTTAGGATCCTCACGAAGGGCCTTGCCGATGCGGTAGATCTTCTTGTTGATCTCAACACGATGATGATAACCCATCTGACCAGCTCTGGGGACCTGGAACTGGACTCGGGCCGGATGCCAGGCACCAATACAGGCGACCTTGCGGAGACCACGATGGGTCTTACGGGCAAGACGAGTGACACCCCATCGAGTGGTGACACTAGTGTTACCGTGACCCTTAGTCACACCAATGATATCAACCATCTCGTCCTTATCGAAGACAGAGGAAATTGGAACCTCCTTCTCGAAGAGAGACTGGCAGAATTCGACCTTGTCCGAGACGGAACCACCGTTGACCTGGACCTCGACAATATGGGCCTTCTTCTGAGTGAGCTTCACCTTGCTGACCTGGGTGTGCATGATGGCACGCACAACCTGGCAGTACTTCTTACACCGCT